CCAGAACCTGAGCTCAGCACAAAAGAGGAGACTTGACTTTTTGCTTGACGATGCGGTGATGCCTCAATTTTTGGTGTCTTTTCGGACTTTGCTTTGTCAGGCCTTTTACGTATGTTCTTTGCTTTCTTCTCTTCTGCTGGTTATACGACGCTCATAACATAGCTGTTAATAAATTAAAAATTAAAAAACAAGAAATAATAATTATAATAATAGTAAACCGTAATATATGCACAACAAAAACCGTGTGCATAAAAGGTATGCAAGCGTGCAACACGCGAGGAGCATGCCACCATCCGCTTTCGTGATTTGTTGCGCTTTCGAGGTGCTTATTGTGGTGGCGTTAGTGCGCACTTTGTCTGTCGGTGGCTCTGTCTAACAGTCCGCTTTGTCTGCAGCAATTTGCGGTTGAGTGAACAATTACTGAGTTCACAAATTGTTAACTATTAATTGTTTTGTTTTTTTTTTTAAACACATTCATATTCAATTAGTCGCGATTGTCGAATTTAATGAGTTTATTATGCAGCAATTTAAATCAAATGAGGCAGTTTGCTGGAGTTTGGTGCTTAAGCAGATGACTGCTATTAAATTCTTACTAAGTGTTAATTTTTATACACGTGTACCAATAAAATTTATACGACTAATGAAAAATCCGAGTTATGTTCGATTAAAGCAATAGTCGGGTTATCAAAAAGCTAACTGAGACCAATAAAGACACTAATTGGTAGGCAGACAAATTGTCAAATTAATGCAAGGAGGCACAGCCACTAAAACACGCTTTGTAGTTCACTTTTTAGTTCTTAGCTATGATTGTTCAATACCACTTCAACCACCGTTATATATACTAACAACAGCTCCATTATGCCGTTCCCGCGACAGTCGGGTCTCTGTAACCGGAACGATCCAGATCGATTACAGTATTTAAAAATAATTTATCACCATTTAAAAAATCCAGAGATCGAGAACGCAATCCAGTTTTGGTTTGGTTCTGCACAGACGAGAATAAAAGCTTTGAGAACTTAACGTTATGAATGAATGAGAAGAGTGTTGAGATGAAAAATTGAAAAGCTGGCTCGTTTATAATTAGGGTAAACTGTCCATTTATGGAACAATTTTTTAATATCTGTGGAAAAAAAAGAAGTTCGTGTCTTAAGTCTTTCGTTTATTTAATTTACATAATTATCTTTTAGTTCTTTTTTGATTAATCTTAATATTCACACATTTCAAACTAATGAACGCTATGTCAAAAATTTTGTTCCCGCCTCTATTCTTCGCGAATATTCAGAGACGATTAGTTCCCGTTTCGTTCTCTGTCAGAAGGTCCCTTAGACTTTAGTTCCCAAATTGTTCTTCGAGAGAAAGTTCCTTAGGCTTTTGTACCCGTTTTGTTCTATGTCAAAACGTTCCGTAGACTTTTGTTCCCATTTTCTCTCTCTTAAAAGTGTTCCCGAAAGTATTGTGCGCATTTTGTTCTCTTTGGGAACGTTCCGCAAGGTTTTGTTCTTATATAATTGCCATTGAGAATGTTCTCGACAGTTTTGTTCTCATTTCGGTTTTGGTTTTGAAGCTTTCTTGGGAGCATACCTTTTGTTCTCGGTTCCTGAAAAAATCTTGACTACAAATTGTATAGATTTGTATGTTTGTATTTATATGTATATAATACCTTCTACTGAGTAATTTTTATTTTTTTTTTTCAAACATTAAACGTTTTTTCGAATTTTTTGAAAAAAAAAAAATGTTTTTATTTTAAATTTTTTTCCAAAAATTTAAAACTCGAAACTTTTTTAAAAAAATGTTTTCTCTGCGTGATTTTGGAGAACTTTTTTTTCCTTTTCAGGAACTCTAGAACTATTTGAAAGCTACTCAGAGCAGCTTTTTATTTTCTATTTTGCAACATGTCGCACAATGGGCCATATGGCGACTTTTGCTGGAAAAAATCAAAATGGAATTTTTATGTTTTGATAATTTAAACTTGTTAAGAAATGTCCAATTACATAGAAAAAAATATCCTTTATTTTTTTTTAGGTAAAATTTTAAGTTTTGACTGTTTGTTTTTTGAAAAGTCAAATAGACATTTTTAAAAAGTGGTATGTTGTTCATTACACCAGGACGCAGGAAAAAATGTAGTTGGCATAGAAAACGATGCCCTTTTTTTATAAAATAAAAACAATTTGTATACCATGAGGGACGAAGCAAGAGTAATATGTCAAAATTTTGTAGAAAAATATCAACAAAGTCGAACTTTTTTGGACAACACTGTACTGTCATGTACTTTTCTTTAAATTTTTTTGTGAGACTTCATTATTCCTACTTTTAGATACTGCTTAAGCCAGACTTTACGCGACCTTGCAACAATGTCAAGTGCCATATGGGTATTTCCTAACGTCGCATACGTGACAGTCGTACGTTTCAATGTGATACAAACAAGGAATACAATTTGTTTTCTTTAACTTTTTTGGGCCATTGTATAGCACATAATTAGCTCTATATTTAACCGAAAAATGAAAACAATCGAACTGCTTGGTCCTGAAATATGACCACTTAAAGAGAGTGTAGTTTTCTCCTGTGAACATACCCCTATCTCTACTGCTTTGGAAGGCCCCATACAAAAATTACATATTTATAAAATTGATCCCACCACCATCCAAAAAACAAAAAGAAAAAATCATAGGAGAATAAAATGCATGACCAAACTCCATTATAAACTTGAGAAAGTCTTTTATTTGCAGTATGAAGCTTTAAAATTAGTTTAATGGGGCGGCCCACTGTGTGTCGTATGCAGCCTACAAAACTTGAAAAAAATTTTCGTTATTGAAAAATATCTTAAACTTTTTCCCGTCTTTTTGCATCATTACGTGTGCCAACTTCACAGACATAGACTATCCTAATCCAACCTAAATCAAAATCTGGTCAAGTGCGCAAGCGATTTTCAGGGAGATGTGTATGTATCTGAAAGGAAAACGTGTGGTCGCTGAGGAGCTAATCAGAGTGCTTAAGATTTTATAAAAGTACGTTTTCCAAAATTGTTACTCCAATATTTCAGTACATTCATTTTCCGTTTAGTTAAGTTTTATGTAGTTCGTTTATATTGTATCCTTTGGAAAATAGCAAACAAATAAAAAGTATTTGCCTTAATTCATATTTTCCAAACAGTTGAAAAATTGATAAGATTTCCTCAAAACTCACACGCTTAAATATATTAGTTTTCTCAATAAGAGGGTAAAACCATTCCCCCTCTCAGTCACTGTCTGAAGTGCACGTGGATGGAACTGGGCCATACTTTGATGCGGGCCGTGTTAAGATTATTCTGTACACTTACCAAAAAAAAAAAATATATACAACAACGAAGGGATTCGAGACGTGCATGAATATGAACGAACACACATATAATAGATATGTATGTAGGTTCAAACTAAAGCTATCCTAAGGAAAAAGTTTGTCGGTTGTTTCAAATAAGTATTCTTGCTCAGTGACTTTTCATGTAAATGTGTACATACATATGCATGTATTTTGGTTTGGACTATGACTCCAACGCGCAGAGGTAACAAAGTTGGTAACAAAGTTACATTCAAATAAAAACTCAACCTAAGTAAAGTTTGTCTGCCTCGATGGCGGAAGATGTGTTTACAAAGTGAACCAACTCTGCGAGTGTATGTATGTAAGTATGTAGATACGTACATTAGGACGGAGTAATTTAATTTCGAAAAAATTGTATGGCATACATATTCGAATTCTATGTTTTCGATCCTAAGCGAAAATGGTGAACCAACTATGTACCGAAAATGACGTTTGATCCTTTAAATGTTTAAAAGAAAAGTCAGTGTATTAAAATTTTTTCTGAACGAAATAAATTTTTCATTTACAAAATTTTGTGTTTTCTTCATACATACATAAAATATTCTGATTTTTCGTCAATGTTATTGTGGCTTGTTTAACATTTTATTTATTTTATTTATTTTTAAATATTTTTTATTGAGCTTTGTACTACGATTGTTTATTAGGAAAAATTGAAAAAGCAACAAAGTCTAAGCGGTAGAAGTTATAGCACTATTTCGGAGATCACCACATCTCCTCATCAGACTTCTTTTTTCTAGACTTCAGCAGGGATCGAACCTGCGAATTCGATGTTCAAAGTCAGAAGCGTTAACCACTGAGCTATGTACATCCCGTAAACTCTTGTTTTTCGTTTGAAAATTGGGAGGTTCAAACGTCATTTTTGGTATTTAGTTTGTTCGCCATTTTTGCTTATACATAATCGTAGAATTAGAATTTGCTACACACCACTTTTTTCGAAAATTTTGCTCTGAACAAATTACTCCGCCCTAACGTACATACATACATATTTATATTTGTGCTACATGTATTTAAGTACATATGTATGTGCCATATTGGCTTTCGAAAAGTTGACGCCAAAAACATTCTAATAAGCGCATTCACCCACTGATATTGACGGCGCGTTTTTAGTTAAAGAGTTGAATGACGCTTGGGATGTATCTCGTATTCTCCCACTTGTACATATCTACATACATTGCACAAGCATGCTCATGTACATGCATATACATACATACATATATGCAGTATATGTACCTAAGTACTGTATGTTTAAATGCTTTTACGCGCTCACGTTTCCTTTGCTATAATACCAACTAGCGCAGAGGATGCATTGCCAACACAGCAGCAGCGCTTCATTAGCCGGAAATGTATGAAATTATATATGCCGCCGCCATTCAATAGCGTTCTACTTTTAGCCAACAGCAGAAAAGCCAATCAGTTAGTAGCGAAAACTTTATTTGTGCCGGAGAACATTTGTACGCTTTGGAAACACGTTGATAATAGTATTGCCAAAGTTGAAAGTTCTGCCAAGTACCTAGCGTTGTGCCGCGCTACTTTAATTGTGTTGTCCTTTTAGTTTGTCAAATTACTAACTTCGATACACTCATACATATGTACATATGCACTTTTCTGCTTACAAAAGCTTTATAATATTTTTTCCCCCTTTTCAGATCGACATTCAACCGCCTGAACGTGAGGTGGTATTTTCTGAGGAATTTCGTCCCACAGATCCGCGCAGTGTTGGACCTTGTGGCGGTTTTAGCACACAGTATGCTTGTATGTGTGATTTTCATGGTGTGCCCTACAGGTTTGTTCGCACCATACACTTACAATTGGTTACGAGTTTTAACTTCCATCGTTTTTTTTTTGTTTTACTTACAGAGAAGAAGTCGCATGGGATATTGATACGATTTACTTGTCGCATGATACACGCGTGCTGAATTTACGTGATTTCGATCATTTGGAACCAAAGTAAGAAATATCGTAATATTTTTATTTACCCAAAATGTTTGCTAACTAATTTCATCTCCCCCACAGAGACTTAATGGCCATTGTGTCCGCATTGGAATATAATACATTTTTTCGCGGCCTAAAAGCATCACATATGCGCCTCTCCAATGAGACTTTGGAACGTATACTACACGTGCTCAAGCGTTCAATGTGGCTGGAAGAGCTGCATTTGGAGGCATTAGGTTTAAAGTAAGAACTTACTGTTGTTCTTAACTGTATGAACTTAAAAAAAAAAAAAAATACCTCTTCTCCCCCACAGATCGGATTTTTTGCATAAATTAGCTGTATCTGTGATTACAAACAACAATCCCGCAATACGTACGATCGATTTGAGTCATAATTTGATTGAGGATAAAGGTTTGTATGTTGACTGTCTGCCACATCAGACACCAGCGAAATAGAGACATACAAGCGCACACATACACATTAAATGCAAACGTAATACATTAAAAAAAAAAAACATTCAAAACTTAAAAAACATGTCTAACTATTTTGCATGTAGGTCAATAACATCTAACACGCACCACAAAAGTGTTTGTTAATGTATTCACTAATGCCCTTTGCGAAATAAAACAAAGAAAGCTAATTAACACCAACTTGCTACTAATGTGAAAAACCTTACAATTGTACATACGACTAGATATATATTTATATGTATGTACAACCATTTAAATTCCTCAATAATCTACAACTATATGTAACCAATTACCCTTTAAATCCATTGTAATCCAATTTAAATTACCACTCTTCCACTTTTGTGATGTAGGAGCAAGCTCATTGTGCGCCCTACTTGGAAAAATTGTACAAGGTTTGATTTATTGTTTAGTGTAAAAAATGTTCTTTATTAAAAATTGCCTAAAAGCTGAGAATTGTAAAAAAATTTTAAAATGTATATTCTAAAATTCGTAATTGACAGTTGCATAGTTTGAATTTGCGAGCTTAAAATTATTATAGAGAATTCAATTTGAAAACCGTTATTTTACTTTTTACAATAATTTTGCATACATTCCAATATTGCTTGCCAAATTACAATTTCAATTACATATTTAATATTGCCACAGCTCGTGAATTTAGCTTATAAGTTTTTCCCTTTTCGCTTCTAGGTGGAATTATTTTGAGCTTGTAATACGTTTTTTTTCTTAAACATAAAAATTTGGAAGCTTCTAAGTTCGATTGGAATGTAACTCATAAATACCCAGCGCACCCTTTATTTTTTAGAAAGTGGTACCACAGAAATTATTTGAATTATTTTTGTTGTTTCTACCAAGTTGGAGAACGGAAAAGTTATGGGAGTTTTGCTTGAACTCGACCAGATGCTATGTAATCACTTTTTTATTAATAAAAGAAGTAATGTTTTTTAATTTTTTTAACTAACTGGCAATGGTATTTGGGACAACGGCACAAATTTTGAATCATTTATTATAGTCTGTGCTGATTCTGAGGCTTATCGACACATTTATGTACTGTCTGAGGTTTAACATGTATACATGTATTTTTGAGCAGTTAAACTTGGCCAAATATGTTTCAAGGCCGGACTAAAAATCCTTTCCTAATAACAAAAAAAAGAACCGCTTATCCAAATTAAGTATTTGATATCAAATGAAAGAGGACTGGAATAGCTTTTAAACAGAAATAACGAACGAAGTTACCACCTCTCTTTATATATTTTTTTTTATAATTTAATACAAAAGAAATTCATATACATAGCTGAACCAAGGTTCGTTCCATTGTAATTAAAAAACATTTTTTTATTGAAATATTTTTCAATAGGTGGCTTTCCTCGTTTAGACATTTCATTTGACAAAAACGAATGGCGTTATTAACACTCGTTTAAAAACATTAATGGCCTGCTTATATTGAATTCTTTTTAATTGCCAAATTTTGAAGACTTATTTACGGCTGTATTGCCATATAAAAATTTAACGTATTTTTCGGTTTGTCCTAAGCTAATTTCGGTTCAGGCTTCGCAATATTACTTAACTTCCTCAATATGGCTAAATTCTTTAAGATATAAAACATTATTTAATAAAGCGCTGGGTATTTAAAGTTTTCGGCTGCAATTCATTTCTTATAGCATGTTCCGACACTATTATTATTTAAAAAATAACATAATTTCGAAAACTTCATTAATTGCATTTTTAGTTTTATATTTATTCACAATGTTGCTTACGCTTTTCTTGCTTCAAAACTTGTTAAAAAAAGTTGCGCATTACTTACTCTATCTCCTGCCTTCCCTCTAGGTGCTATTCATCTAGCCGGTCCCATTGCCAAAGTATCGAAAGGTCTATGCAAACTGGCGCTCGCTCATTGCGGTCTCACATCGAAGGGCGTGAATCAGATGTCACATTCGTTGTCGCTAAATCAAAGTATTTCCAATTCGCTCACGCATTTAGATTTAAGTGGCAATAGCCTCAAGGATGATATAACAGTGAGTTGAAACATGATTTTTGTTTTTTTTTTGTTTCAAAGCAAATGCACTATTTCTTTCTATTTACATTCACTTTTAGAATTTACATAATTTTCTGGCACAGCCGAATGTTTTAGAACATTTGGATCTCTCATCGACTGATATAACCTTGGAGAATGTAAGTATATGGAATTATGTTTTAAATCTATTCATATAATAACTTTAAATTTCTTCTTTTTACAGTTATTTGGTGCTCTCTTACGCGGTTGTGCAACGCATTTAGCTCATTTAAATGTTTCACATAATTCTTTTAGCACCAAAAAGGGCAAAGAGATACCGCCATCATTCAAACAGTTCTTCACGAGTTCATTAAGTTTAAAGCATTTAAATATTGCCGGTTGTAAACTGCCAATGGAAGCGCTCAAGTAAATAAGAAATCAAAAGAAAGATTAAGAAAGTCTTAAATTTATACGAGTATATGGAAGTAACTATTAGACGGGAAATTAAAGAAGAATAGAGTTAGAATTCATATTGCCTTTTCGGGTTTGTTTGTCCCTTACTGTACCGTATGTACTTTAATCTGCATCAAATCTGAAGCTAATGAGCTAAAGTTTGCTAAACCCAGTAGATAACTTCTGGAGCTAAAAGCCCTCCAAAAGGCCTTCAATCAAGAGGCCTTGCAATTTGCATTCCTTGCTCCTTTCTTTTTTGTATGAAGTAGTGAGGGTTTCTCCTATCGCTTCCCATAGACAGGCTTCCAGAAGGGCTTTTGAAGGACGTATTTCAGAAAGCTTTTTGGAAGAGTTGTTATAAATCTGCTTCTTTAATTCATAAAAACCATACTTCTTTAAGGTAAATACATATTACATACATTTGTAAGTTAAATAATAAAAACCTACACATTCCCGTAAATTTGAAATCAAAAAATCCCTTCTAGAAGGCATGCAGGGGTCTACTTCTTGCAGCCCTTCTTGGATAGGCCTTTTATAATGGCTGCACTTAAGCAGACCTTCCTAATTTATATGCTGGGAATTATTTCTTCTTTCTGAGGCTAAGTTACCCAAGCTCTTGTTAAAAAAAAAAACTTGAAAACCAGACTTGATCTTGAACTGGCATATTACAAAATAATCATGAGGTTTATTTATAATACCTTTATTCTTTAGTAATTCTCAATTATTTGTATGTACAGTGACTCAAACTTGTTGATTTTTTTAACAGATATTCGTAATGTTTTTCGGGCTAAATTTTTCTTGTTTTTTTTTTTTTTATAAAAATACCTTCCAAGCTTTAACCAAAAAATCACAGTTTAAAACTGTATACAAAATTTAAGTAAATTCAACAAATTTTCATAAAAATCTCAAATTTTTAACTTGAATCATTAGAACATATTTGGGCATGTAATTATATAGCCCATACAATTTTAGTCTAATGAAGTGCAAGTTTCAACCAGCCGAAAAACGTGTTGATTTTTGAGATTTTTTTTTGGCTACTGCTTTTGCGCTTTTTATATAACAAGTGCAATTTACAAAAACTGGCGGTTGGTTTTTGAAATTTTGAGCTAACGGTCTTCCGCATTTTATTTCATAAGAAATGCATGCGCTTATATGGAAAACAGTGAAAAATCCGTCACCAAAAAAAAAAAGTTTTCAAAAATCAACGGGATGTTTTAGCAGTTTGAAACTTGCACTTCATTGGACTAAAATTGTATGGGCTATAAAATTGCATAACCAAAAATTTTCTAAATATTCAGATTAAAAATTTGAAATTTTGTTGAAAATTTGTTGAATTTTCCTAAATTGTGTATAGTTTGAAATTGTAATTTATATACATGTTTGGTTAGGACTTGCGACGGTATTTTTATAGAAAAAAATACGAATATTCAAAAGCGATCAGCTTGTATATATTCTTTAGAAATTCGATTTAAAATTAAGTACTATTACACTTCACTTCACGATGACCTTATTAAAATTTTCCTCCATTTGTTATTAATACTCTTAATACATAATGTTTTCATGTCTTTCTTTCACAGAAATTTACTACTCGGTTTGGCGTGCAACGAGTCCACAGCTGGGCTGTACTTAGATTTAAGTAGCAATACGTTAGGTGCCCAGGGTGCGCATGTTTTAGAATCATGCATACATGGCGTACGGGTTCTACAAAGTTTAGACATAAGTGACAATAGTAAGTTCATCGACAAATGGCAACTACAACGATTTTTTTTCAGTTCTTTAAACATACATACATACATATGTATATATATACATATATTTACTAATTATATTTTCCTTCTTACAGATTTGGATGCCGAATTAGCTCCCGTTTTAACAGCGATTTCAAAGAACCCATCGATACGCACGCTTTATATGACGCGCAGTCTGACAGGCATGAAATTGAAACATATTCCCACTGTTATGGATGCGTTGGTCAATTTGATACAAAAAGATGATTTCCCACTGGCGGAATTGGTGATCTCCGAAAATAAATTGAAAAACGATATACACGATTTTATTAATGCGCTTGGCAGCAATCAAAGTTTGCAAAAATTAGGTGTGTAGCACAAACCACTGTATTATATGAGTGGGCTAAAACCTAAAAAATCGAGGTTTCATTCTAGATTTTTTTTTTCTACTTTTAACGTGGAATATTCATTCCGCCCTAAACCTTGTATGCATAGTTTTAGATATGTCTACAAAATTTTGCTTGGGGAAAAATATGCATACTTCACTGATACTTTTTAAAAATTTTATTAAAAATACATTTGTATGTAATTCTCAACTGTTCGTATATTTTCATAAATTTCTCATTAAAAAAAGGCGGGACAGCATTAAGTTAATAATAGTCATTAAACATATTCCAGATATTTTTTAAATAGCAAATTTTTTTTAGCTATTCCAATAGCTAGAGGAAGTTCGGCATATTATTGTATGCCTTTGGCAGAACCTTCGATTGTTATCTAATACATTTTTCCTCTATTTTCAGATATTAGTGGCAATTACATGGGCGACGTGGGAGCACGCCTGCTCGCAAAAGCTTTACAAATCAACAACAAATTGCGCACAATTTACATGGATAAAAATAATATAACACCACAAGGTTATGCTGATATCGTTTACGCTTTAGAAAACAATCACAGTATGCGCACCATACAATATCCAGTATTTGACATCACACCGCATATGAAAAACCATCCAGAGAAAACGGATGCGATTATGCGCAAAATGCAAGAGCTATTGCAACGTAATTGCAATGGCCTAAAACGCACTAATGGACAAGGTTTCCGCCTGCAACATGGTTTTTTGCTATCTTCAACGCATCAATTAGTTGATAAACTAGTAGCCGAAACACAGGACAATATTTCGGTGGCAAAGGGCAGCGACTCGTCGGCAGTGCAGCGACTTATCGACGATGCGGAAAATTGCAAACAGCTAATGCCAAAATTGCAAGAGGCAGTACGCTGCGAATCGCATCCAATCGAAATAAAGCTGACGCGTATCGCCAGTGATCTCAGCTATACCATACAAGGTTATTTGGAAGAGACGTTGGAGACAATGTTGCGCACTGCAGTGGAGCAGTGCCCCAAAACATTGGGCAGTCAAATGGTCGTGCAAGATCTACGCAAAGCGCTTAGTGAACGTCTACAGATGCCAGAAGATTTTGTACAGAGTTGCTTGCTGAATAATGCTGGCAGCGAGATCATGAACAAAGTGGGGTGAGTTGATAACGTTTGCTTTTAAGCTTGCAGCTGAGTTTTGATAAGAGAATGAGAGAGAGGGGGAGAGAGATGGAGGTAGAGAAGCAGGATGACGAAAGAGAGGTGCGCGATTTAGATGTGAAAAAGCTTGGCTTTCATTCTGAGCCAAACTGCGCAAAACGATTCGAGCTTTTGAACGGCGAAGCTTAATACTTTGAGATATGTTCTGCTGATGATTTTATTATTCCAGTGATATCAAAGAGATGTTCTTGTTTTAGTTGACTCACAGGTGCGCTGAAAAACAGTCGAATTACAAAAGAACACTAAAATTAATACCATATTAAGCTGAAAGCAACATTCTTAACAAAAAAACCTAAACGAATAATTTAAGTTTTTGGCATTTCAGTGGGGTTTTTCGAATTACTCTGCGAGAGTATTCTATTATTTTCCACAAAACTATGCATATTTACAATTTTTTTATCTGTTCCTTTTTCACTAACATCCCACTGTTTCAATTTGAAGTTGAGCTCCCCTGTACCCACCCAGAGCCGCTCGCTTAACATTATACAAATGTAGATACATTCATATGTAAATTGCTTGCTCATAGATAAGATTAAGCACTACCAGTGCAGTATGTTCTAATGGGGAATGAAACGAGTTAAACAGAAACACGAAAATGAAATCAAGAAGTGCGAGAAATAATAAAGTGAATAAAGAACTATACAATGAACCCGTTTAGCTCAGATTTATTTTTTGCTATATTGCAAATATTTGTCTATGTAGAAACTGTCAAGTAAAGCTGAGTCTGTATACAACAACAACAGTAAAAGACAACATCAAACAAAACTTCGCAGTATTCTATCTGAAAGCGTGGAGCAAAGTGTAAATCTGTTCAAGTCGAAGCAGTTGGCGATGTGGTGGTGCCACTCGAAGCTAACCATTTGCCCAGTACTCCTACATCGCCCGTGTGATCAAGTAGAATAATGAAAATAAACGGAGCGGCCAAAGCTGCTGTTATGCGTAATTAAAACAGCTGTTAGGGCGCAGTGGTACAAATTTCGAATTAAATTTGAAAGTTAAAGTGCAAAAACAACAACAAAAAAGGAACACAGTTTCAAAACAAAATGGGGCGCAGTTGGTGTGGTTGGTGTTTTTGTGGCGGACGTGGGGTTGGTAGTAAAATACCAAATAAAACACTTAGAGAGGAAGCAGATGAAGAAGATAATGAAGATTTTTATAAAGTTCGTTATGATAATGCTAGCGTAAAATTATTGAAAGCAACCACGTTGCCCGAGCAAGATACACTGCAGCTAAATATAGCTAGTGCGCCAACAGAAGATGCTGAGGACGTACAAATCGATAGGCAGGCATTGAAAAAGTGATTACGTTTGCATTTTTGAATATTTAAACAATTTTGTATTTAAAATACATACATATTTACGCGCAAACAATTTTTTTCTAACTCACTCTATGTTGATTGCAGTGAAATTGAACAATCTTTGGCGGCGTCCATCTCAGATCGCGCCACTGATGAGGTGCTGGAGGCGCTTACGCGCTATCGACGCGGCCTGGGTATTGCTGATTCACCTTCGGTGCTACTCGATGAACCGCAAACGCCTGATATTGTGCGCAGCCGTTCGAGTCATGTAAGTATATTTTATTTATAAGGTTTTAGAAAGTTTTCAATTGCAAAGAGATATAGACTGAATAGTAGTAGATTACGTCGTTTGTTGCTTCATAACAGCAAAGAACAGGGGGGAATATGTACATAATATGGTCGTCGTTAGCAATGCAAAAAATCCTGTTTTAAAATCTTATTTAATAATTCAAAGACAAATTTAAAAAACACGAGGTTTATGCGCATCTTTATATTGGCCCGAAAGCATTAGGAAAAGTTTTTGCTTGTTCCATAAAATTTCAAATGTACCATTTAATGCCTCTTGCATTGATGCCGACTACATGCATATACATACGTCTCTACATATATGTACATATGTGTGTATATTAGTGTGCATGAGGAATGTTGAAGCTAAGCTCACCTCAATTATTAAAAAGTTCTTTAATTACTTTAAAAAGTAACGCAATTAAGTAAAACTAGTTGACTTTGAGATGTAAATGTTTTTATAATATATATTATTTTTTTTTTTAATAAATTTCGTCCCTGCGTTGAGGTATTAGTCGACATATGTATGTATGTTCATAGTAATTCTTTTCCATCGAAGGTTTCATCGTTTATATGTATGTGTATAAATATTTCTGTTTAGATAAGGCATCACCGGTAACCATACAAATTCTCGGTATCTTATCAGCTCTACAGTCTTTTTTTTATTTACACATACTTTTTGCACGCGTTGCATTGGTTTGGTTGTGTTCACTCATTTTTCGTATTTTGTTTTGTTATTGTCCTACAATGTTGTCATCATCGATGGAAGGTCTGATTTATGTGCATATGTATGTAGATACTATGTACTATTTCATATGAAATTTGGCAATTGATTATTTAATATGCGTTGCTCGTTGATATTTCTTGACTAAAGTGAGTACTTAGAAGGCGATACTCCAATAGCACGTAACTCTAAGTATATGGCCTTCTAATGCAATGCATATTTCTACATAACAAAACTTACACACATGAACGTCCAAGTATAGTTACATGCATATGTTTGGTCATTGATGTATGCACTAACGTAGTTTTAGTACATATAAATATATGAATAAAAGGAAGTGATATTTTAACTTTTTTTGTTCGCAAATTTCTCTTTGAAATCTTTAGTCTTAGCGTGAAAAGCAATATATGTACATGTATTACTATGCTAACGTGTAATTGCATACATATGCAAAGACAGTGTAGCCAAACTTTGTTTACATTATCGCTTTTTTGAATGTTGATAAGACTGTATATAATATGTATGTATGTATCTATTCAAATATATGTAGATGCACATATAAGTAAGAAATGTTCAAATATTAATTTAGCTAATGTTTCAAGCAAATAATAACTGGAATGTTTGCGAACACTATTACAATTCGAGTTAAAAACAAGTAAGAAAGTCTAAGTTCGGGTGGAGCCGAACATTAAATACCCGGCGCAAGTATTAAATATATGTTTTTTCACCTTTCCGAAACCTACCGCTAGATGGTAAGCCGGGGTGTATAAATTTTGAGTAAATTAGCGTCCTTAAATTTCGAAATATTGTAGTTTCAAGCATTTCTGAAATTTACCGTTATATGAAAAGCGGCCGTAATTTTAGTTTTTCAACGTTTTGCTTTTATGTGGCAAGCACAATAAAAATACCGAGTTTGGTACAAATTGGTAGAACGGTTACCGATATACTTATATGTGATCATAAGTGGGTGGGTGCCACGCCCATTTTCCAAAATTTTACCATAAGCGTATTTCTTGGTAAAGAATTGTTGCAAGCGTCAATTTTGAATAAATTAGCTTTAATATTTACTGATTTATCGAAGATTTCGTATTTCTCTAAATTACCCTGTGGACTGTGGGCGTGGTTATTGTCCGATTTTAAAAATTTTCGGCCATTTAGCATGCTGTATCAAGACCATTAACTGTGCCAAGTTTGGAAGAAATTGATGCAGCGGTTACCAAGATATACACATGTAACCATAAGTGGGCGTGGCTACGCCCATTTTCCAAAATTTATAGTATTCTTATTTTTCGTCTGAAAATTATTGTAAATATCAATTTTGAGTGAATTATCTTCAGTAGTTACTAAAATATCGCAGTTTTCGTATTTCTGGAAATTACAGTTATATGGGAAGTGGGCGTGGTTACAGTCCGATTTCGCCCATTTTCAATACCAACCTACCTTGGATTAACGGAAACCTACATACCAAATTTCGTTGAGATATCTCAATTTTTGCTCGAGTTATCGTGTACACGGACGGACGGACAGACGGACGAACAGACAGACATGGCTTAATCGATCTCTCTATTCATTCTGAGCATTTATGTATACATTTGTCTATATCTATCTCGATTCGTTTTGGCTGTTACAAACAACCGTTATATGAACAAAATTAATATACCCTTGTGCACAAGTGCGCTCGGGTATAAAAACAACTTTTAGTTGATCACTTAAATGTTGTGATCTGAGATATACAATGAATCATGCCGCCTAAAACAACTGCAATTCTATGGCGGACGTTATGAATATTCGCCGCAGAGCATTACCTCAACGGACCACACAAACACTATTCGGCTTAGGAGAATTAAAAAAATCTAAAACAATGATAAGACATTGGTACAACATTGCCAATGCCATTACCACCGCCAGTGCCTACATATTTATAAATCTATACTCTCCTATTATCTATACTCTTTTATTATCTATACTCTTTTATTATCTATTACATACATACAACAATTTTTGTGGGGAATTGTAATTCGATGAAATGCATCCTAATCAATCAATAAGAAAATTTAGGATTTGTTTATTAGATACGGGCTTTTGCATTTGAGACGAGAATATAATATATTATACATATATATATATATATATTATACATGCATAAAACAAAAATTATATAGTATGTATGTCTGCAGGTGCGTCCTAAAACGCTCTTTACCCATCATATCTAATTTTGGCACACGTACTGCAAATTTTCATACAGCATATCCCCGAAGTATTTGTGGTAGATTACGATATTTTGTTATGGAGATATTTGAAAGAAAATCCATACTCATAGAAAAAAGTCACTCTACTTCAATGTACTTCTTACATTTATTAAGTGGTCTTTTAACTCCGTGAAAAAATATTCGCCGTCTTAGTCTTCTGCCGCCTTCATTTCTTCTTAACTCGAAAATCTTCGTGCTAGGTGGTTTTTCTTCAAATTTAGAGTGCAGGAAGTAATCGCTGGGGGGCAGGTCTGGACTGTATTGTGGGCGGTTGATTTCTTCAAATCCAGTCTCGGCCAGGGCACGCCTCGCAACTCACCTATTATGCACGGGTGCATTGTCTCCCAAAAACTGAACTCCTTTGGCCTCTCCGTTTTTGGACAACCACTAGACGTACTTTTGTCAACAATGTGGCTTACTGGTCTCCGTTCATTGTAGTTTTTTTTTTTTAGAAAGATAGTCGATGAACGAAAAACCTTCACAATCAAAAAAAAAAAGGTGGTGACGGAAGTGTTTGGACATCCTAACCCGGGACATCTTCCAGCGACTCCCTGCCATGCTTAAGTTCTCGGCTCCAACGTTTGATGGTGGTAAATGAAGGTCCAGACTCCCCATACATTGTAGACATCTCTTCAACTGTTTTCTTCGGCGTTTTGTTTTCTTTGTGTGTGTACCCCAAAGGTACTTAGGCTCAAAACTTGACGGCCTCTCTTCGTATATGCATTTGTATTCGTGTTCGTTTTCGTCTTTATTTATGATTATTTGTCGCTTTGTGTTGCAGATATCTTAGTTTTCTTACGCATTCTATATGTCTCGCTGTTATGTGGCAGCGCTTATTCAGCGCTACTTTGGTCACTTATCGTGCGTTGCACTGCGTCTGTCTTAATATTGGTTTCATAAATATTTGTCGGCAGTGGTGTATCAAACGGTTTTGCAAAGAGGGTACGTCGATTTCCTTTACTTAGGGTCTATATACAAATGCTGTGCATACATATGTAAGATGCAGCATTTTTTCTTAGTCACGGTTGTTTTTATCTTGTTGAAAAATAAAAAATATACAACAATTAATACTTACAGACATATATGGTCACCTTAATTCCCAAAGGCCCTAATCAACAATTTTTTTATTTTACAGGAGAAGCAAAAAACATTCTAAAATGAGTATCAAAAACAGGGAGGGGTTTTTTAAAATGTGGCATATAACTCCGTTGTTCTTGGTTCTAAGACTTCAAAATTTTTGTTGTAGGTGTACTTGAATACATCCCACCGAAATCTGCGAAAAACGCAGTTTTGAAAAAAAGTGTTGGTTAGGGCCTTTGTGAATTAAGGTAACATCGATATACATTCTTATCCCACTTAATAACTTTCACCATTTGCTACTAAATTATACTAACATTTTTAATTTTGCGAACATATTTGGGGATGGAACTAACCTAAATACGTACATTCTCCATTTAAAAACAAAAAAATCTTACAATCTGGTCAAACATGCTTTTATATCCACTTATCGCCATTTCTTATCAATCTTGATTATAATATCCGTTAAAAATTCGATAATATGCGCAATATACTGCTGCTGCTCAATAAGATTTCTGTTAACAAAGGAGTTTAAAATACTAATTCAAACCTACTCCATATTAGTAGAAAATATCTTCAATGGTGTGCATATATTGTGCTAACTAAAGAAGCGGTGGCAGCACAAAGAATGTTAAAAAGGAGCCTTTTGCGTTGGTATTAGGATGTTTTAAAGTAAAATGTCTATTCCCAAATAACTCAATCAAACTTAATTATATTCGTGCTAGTTAAAATGGGAAATTGTGTGAACTTCACCCAAAAATTCATAGCTAATAAAGTGAATCACCCGTCAACACGAGTCCGAGAGATAATAATTGCGAAAACAGTGTCAACCGTGAATGTAGGCATTACAAAAAAATTTTAGTTCAGCTTTTAATCCGTTATAAATCGAAGATTTTTATGAAAATCTTACTTTATAAAGCTATTTGAATCATTTGCTTTCTGATTCGTTAGCTATAATACCCGGCTTGTTTAAAAAGAAAAAAAATTAGAAAGTTACCACCAGTTTGAAATTTTCAATTTAAGTAAATTGATAAGACAAAGTAAATATTGCAATATGGGTGTCGGTTTAAGAAAGCTTACATATATACATACTATATGTATATGTTTATTTATGTATAAAAAGATATATATGGGGTAGTCTTTCTGAACATTACCCCCACTGCCCAATTTTTTCGTAACTTAAATCTTTTTTAAAAAATATGTAAAATCCATTAAAAGGCACAAGCTTTCCAATGCCGACTGGCATTCAAATTCAGAAAGAACGGAAAATTTTACGTTCAGATGACATATCATATGTGGGGTTTCAATAATTTGTTCAAATGACATATCATATCGACTGCTGAGTGGAAGATCGACCTATCTCGGCAGTCAGTTCGAAAACGCCCTATCTCAAAAGACTTTTCAAGAACGCCCTATTTCAGAATTCGTTTCAAAAACGCCCTATCTCAGCTGCCGATCCAAACACGCCCTATATCGGCACATTTTCAATACATTTCTTCTTAAAAAAAAAAAAGTCGATAAATGATCGTAATTTTTTCATCGATATGTGTTTGATCAGAAATGAGAACTTTTATTTTTTCCAGTCTGAAATAACAGTAAAAATTTTACTTTAATTTTTTCTATCAAAAATAAAAATAAAAATCTAACTACTTCATCTGGTTTTAAACGTTTTAACGAGTCCAATTTTAGCGGTTATTTTTGAATAAAATAATTAAAGTCAAACGTAAACTGTTATTTATGATCCGAAAAATAAAGTTCAACTTAACTTTGTTATTTAACGGAAAAATATAAGTCATAAATTAACTTATTTTTGATCGAAAAAATTTAAATTAAATTTTAACTGCTATGTTTGATCGAAAAAAAAAAGTTAACTCCTAATTTTTGATCAAAAACCTATCGATGGAAAAATAACGATTATTTATCAACTTTTTTGACAAAAAAACATAACAGTTACTTTCCTTGAAAAAAAATTTCGCCCATTTGAAAATATTTTTCCTCAAATTGTATAATTTTTGACATTATAGACTCTTACAAAAGAGCCGCACTAAGTTATCAATCACACCTTATTTAATATACTTTGTTTGAATGTACGTATGTCTGGGAACGGAGTAACTAAAGAAAAACTTTGTTTCCGAAAAATATCGGGCTAAACAAGGACCATTCCATTGTGGCTGGTGAGACATTTGACTCTAGAAGCGATCAATTGCGAAGTATAACTTTGTCACCGGAACTTATACGCCACGCGATACGATATAAAAGCGATACGAGTCTCGCTGTCGCGGTCGCACAAATATAAGTGTGCTCAGTTTAGATCGCTTCCTATCATATCGCACGTACTCAGCATGTCGATGTTGGTTTATATTTATTTTTTAATATTTTTCAACAGATTAATAAAATGTTTTCGGTTAGCTATATGTCACTACCGAAATAGGCATAATTAATATATTTTGAAATGTATGTCGTTTTCCTCTTTTACATGGAATTACCCATAAGGCTTTTAGCATTGATGTATTTGCAATTTTTAATATGAATTTAGTTGCTTATTATATTTCATTTACATATGTATGTAGTTTTCTTCCCCCTTGTATACATATATTATATTCTTCTATTTGTTATTTTTTTTTACAAAATACTTAAGAAAAATTATAGACTCTTTTAAAATACATTTTGTTCTATTGCACTTCCTGTGCAATAGCTACTCTCTCTAAATCTTTCTCTTTAGTATTTCCAAACTAATATACATTTCCTTTTACATTTTCTAGGATGGTGAAGGAATGATAATACGCCCTGGACGCGGTTCTGTTTTACCCAAAATGGGTCTGGAATCACCCACCGTAAGTTTTTCCAACCTCAACACACACACTTGCATAGACAGCAATTAGATATTACTAAAGCAAAAGTGGCATAGCTACATAGTTTACTATTTGCATATAGTATATTTTACAACCGAGGCGTGTTTCATAGCATTTCCCATTAAACATCAAAAATTACTAAATCAGCATTAAACAAAACTAATTGAATTGTTCGTACTGTTAAGAAAAATGTGGCAATTAAATTAAAATTGTGGTGCTAAATTTCCGAATTCATGTAACTCCTCTTAGTAATTATTACAGCTTTATAAATGTATACCAACATTTTCCTAAAAATGAAACAAGAAAACACTACGGAACACGGCAGCCAAACGTAGCAAACAAAACACATATACCTATGTACATATGTACGCACACAAAGATATAGGTTAATATAGAAAATTGCAACATGCACTCGCAAATGGTCTTAAACAAATAAAGCAATTGCAAACTCATATATCCACCCACACTTACACTTATACATACATGTTAGCTGAAATAAATGTAAAGCAGTTTTTAGTAGAACACTGCATACCAACCATAGATCACACAACACAGATTTTAGATAGCAACAAAGAGATATATTGTTCCTCAAAAAATTAACAGCAGTTATCATAATCATAAATCTATAAACACATACATACATATAAAATATATCTATGAACAAAGAGATTCAATTTAAATTAAAACATTTGTGTTTTGTTTTGTGTCTTCCCATTTCTACGTCAAAAATCAAAAAAAAAAAACAAAAAAAAATCATACGCGCAATCTTCATCACTCGCATTGCATCTCCTTCTCGCTGTATGTATGTACTATGTATGTTTGTATGAATCTTGGCTTATCTCTCCACCAAAAACATTAAATAACGGGCTCCGTTTCTTTTGAAATCATTGAACTCTATAATTATAAAAATACAAACTCAATTTAATTATCACGTCTACAACTACATACATTTGAAACTATAATTGATTAAAAAAAACATTTTTTTTTAAATAAATATTCTTTTATCATTAAACATTCTTGCCTTTCCACCAATAATTCGAGCTCCAAATTAAATATTAACAACCAACATTCTTCACATACCTACATGCAAAATTTGTCGAAAATGCTTAAAACGCAAAAAATTATTAAACTAAAACCAAAACACTACAAAACAAATCAAACCACAAAATGTTCACTCATAAAGAAATTGGAATATCTGAACCTTGTAAGTAGTGTGCTTCATATTAAAGACATTAAAGTGCATAACTGCCTGCATTCGCTTCATTTTTAAGTTGGCATGCTTGCACTGGATGCAGCTAGTTTTTTTTTTATACGTGATCAAATATATTATATCTGTGCAGTTATTATACATAGTTTTTTATTTTGCATTTTATACATCTAAATATTTATGTACATACAGTCTTTTAGTAAATGAGCGATATATTTTTTTTTAATTTTAAGTATTGGTTTTTCTTAGATTAGTTTAAAAACCAACCAAAAACTAGTTGATCAAAAATTTAAAGACAGTTATAATTACAAGTATGTATGTCAAATCCTTAAAACACACCGATATAAAAAATTGTGCTAAACTTGGTTAAAAAAAAAAACTATACAGAACTGTTAATTTAAATCTTTGAATCAATAAATTTTTTAGAAAATTTCTTTTTGGAGACAAACCGGTTTCGGCGTTGTACTATCTTCAGTGTAATTTTTTGTTCCATACTAATTTGGTTTATTAACGGTCCTCCTAATTATTATATGAGAACTGGAGTCGATTATGTTTTTTGCTTAAAAATTTAAGAATTTTTTTATTCTTTCGTTTTATGGTATTTCATATAATAGTTTCAAGTTAATTAAATTTTTTAGCCGACTTCACAAAAAGGAGAAGGTTATCAATTTGTCGGGATATTTTTTTTTTATATGTTACCGCATAACTTTGGACCATGTTATCCAATTTCTATAATTCTTTTTTTTTAAAGAAAGGTGTTACCCCACAGGTGGTCCCATTTGGTTTACCGTCTGTCTATGCTATAAGTTCACTCGAAACCGAAC